GGTTTGGAATAGACTGCCGCCGGAGGTGGTTCAAGCACCTTCTTTGAATGCCTTCAGGAGACATTTTGGATGCTTATCTTGCTGGGATCCTATGATCCCTGCCTACTTCCCACCCCTGGGGCAGGGGGCTGGACTCTGATCCTCTGGGATCCCTTCCAGCCCAAGTGTCTGTGAAATCTAGTTGGAAAGAATTTCTTCTAGATAAGATTGCAAGAGAAATCAGCTCAGTATTCACAACTTTTTCCAAGCAAAAATAGATCACATAGGAACAGAGGAAAGGATGTCTTGGGTCACTTAGTCCTCCTGTTTCTGGGTAAGCATATTGTATGACTGTGGTTTTCAGCGTTGCTAGATGCAAGGCACCCCTCTGAAAATGTCAGTTCTTCGTTTTCACTCATTTTTTGACTAAAGGAAAATAACAGAACAATTGTTTTGTTGCAAAGAACTCAAAATGACCACAGTGTGTCAGGCTCTTTAATGCTATAGATTCCTATTTGAAATCTCTGGGTTTATCTTGTGAATTGTATTTGCTTTCCTAACTGTGCTAACACTGAAAGGATCTCAAGGTACACTGGTTGAAAGTCACTGTCCTATAAGATGGTTAGGTTCTGTCCTTTCAGTCTGTACTGCTCCCATGGGAAGGGTTGTCCAGAGCTTCATTGCTTGAATGATCAGAAAACTTTTTTTCTAAACTGTAGCCTAAATTTATTAATGTATGTTTATATCCATTTGCTTTTGTGCCAGTATTGTCCTTTAGTTAATGGTTCTTTTCCACAACATTCATGCTTTGTGCCCCCCCCCAATATTTTTTAGACAGCTTATCTTTTCTTGGGTTTGCTTTGCTAAGCTAGAGAAACCAAGCTGTTTTAATCTAGTCTTGTGAAAAAAATGTTCTTCATTCCCCAGATGGTCCTGGTAACCCTTCTCTGCCCATGTTCTAGTTTGAAGTGATCTTTCTTGAACATGGGTGAGTAGAACTTTACACCATATTCCATGTGAGGTCTCATCGGTGCCTGGTACAAGTGCATTAATAGTTCCTTATCTCTACTAAAAGTGTTTCAAGTGATGCATCCTAAGATTGCATTTGCCTTTTCTTAGTCTGCAACTCATTAAGGGTTCATGATCGACCTGTGATCAGCTGGCATTAATCATTTCCAACTGATGAGCTTTCAGTTTATCGCAAGACAAACAACTAGACAAAAGCTTCAGAGGGTATAGACAAATGAACATTTAAGTCTTTTTGAAACAGGAGGTGGATCGGCTGTTAAGACGCATCTAGGCTGTCATGCGGTAGCTGCAACATCTTCATCATTGTATAGCAGTGCCAATAAGCTAAATCCTCTTAACTTTCATACAGTTGGTGCAGTTTTGCTACACTTGCATCACTACAGAATCACACAAAGGTAACAGTTACATCCTATCAGCTCATATTGGTATCCTTACATATTGATGTGCTTGTTATACTTGTCTATAGCCATGACTACATGCTGCTTGCATAATGAGAAGAAAAATTTTAAGATGGTAAGTAAGAGTGCTATCTCAGGGCTCCTACTATAACCGTATGCAGTTTGATTATGTTCTCATTTAGTTATAAGCATTAGGCAGACTGATACCAAATGTTATTTCTACCTTGTGTACCTAGATATTTCCTTAATAGTGTTGCCAAATTATAACAATTTTAGTACTGTAACATAACTAAACATATTTTGTCAGAGGTCAGTATTTGTGGAATGCATCTGGTGGGCCACATTCTCCTGTACACCAATTTTTGTATGTGGCTCTGGTTGTGGAAAAGGCTTTGAAAGTCGCCTGTTATGGGCCACTCAGAATTTCCTTTACAGAGATGAGCTCTCAGCTGCTGCAGAACTGGCAAGGTTAGTATATGAGCCACTAACTGAAAATGCAGCTATAGGAAAGGGGTTTATTGGGAAGGGGGAGTGGCTGCAGTGTGGCGTGATCTGGCAATCCCCAACAGAGATATGATCCTTCGCAGACTGTTGCCAAGCAGCATACATTAGAGC